CTCATGACTGGCCTAGTTATTTATTATATAAGAACAAACTAATTAGGATAGGATAATTATTTAATATATTTGTTCTTATTGTATATACCTTTGTATTAGGCTTAGAACTCTCTTACTTAAACAAAAGGGAGAGGTGCTAGAGGAACTCTTATAGCCAGTGGTTACCCACCCACTGTAGGGCGTGGCTTCTTAGAATATATATGCCAATGAAGAGCATGCAGCCGGACTCTTTTTCAGCCTCTTTTTCCAGTAACAGGATTCAGTTTCCGATCTCTGTTCAGGCGGAGGATTTTGATTTGTGAGTCTAACCCTAAATAAATAACCATCTGCCAATTCTATGCTAGTGTGGAATTTCTTTTAAGTACCCTTCCATATGGTATATTTACAAAGATGTTTTAAAAAGCCATCATGATAGGTGTAGAAAAATGGGTGGAACTAAAAATATTATTCTGTGCAATGTACCTCAGGCCTAGAAAGACGTATCATATTTATTCACTTATAAGTACATATTACCTATTTAGTAAAGGATAACCGAACTCTAATACACAGACCCAGAGAGGTTAAATGAAGTGCAGAATTCTAGCACTGCTGGGAAAATCTCCTGGGAATGGGAAATGAGTATAATTTATGGGTGGATAGGAACAGAAGGGATCATGTGAAGGAGGAAGGGAAGGAGACAGAGAGTTATGTGGAGGGAACACTGAAATAAGTGGGCATTTAGGAGGAAATATAGAATTCTACTGCAGAACAGAGGAAATTGGAGGTCATTGTCCATGAAAAAGAAGTAAGGAACCTATAATATGAATGAAACAGCATCAGTTTTATGCTAAGTATAAGCAACGTATATAGGCTGCATTCTAGATCATGAAGTAGCATTCTACATATGTAGTTTCTGTTTACATGGTATGCCATTTCTAAATCTATTTTGAACAAGTGAATGAGTTATGAAAAGGCAAAGTATTCCATGGGATTGAATATGTATTTTCATCAGCCAGGAAAGCAGCATAACTGTCAGGTGGAGGTCAGCCATACATTGCCCTTTTCTCTCTTTTTTCATTTTATTTATTTATTTTTTAAATTTTCTTATTAAGAAAGAAAACAAACTATCTTTCTTCATTTTTTCTCACTTCCTTCTCTCCTCCCATTTCCTCCACTTGCTCCCCTTATCCACCCCGATCCATTCCTTTGACAGGATGAGCCACATATCTTTGGGGAAAGTACAAGGCCCTCCCTACTATATCCAGGCTGAGCAAGGTATCATTCCAAAGAGAATAGGATCCCAAAATGCCAGTAAAAGCTGTAGGTATAATTCCTGATGTCACTGTCAGTGGCCACTCAGTCTGCCTTAGCCATGCCACTGTCAACCAGATTCGGAGGGTCTAGTTTGGTCCTATACTTGTCCTTCACAGTCTGGCTGTTGTTGGTGAGCTCCCATTAGCTCAGGCAGATTATTTCAGTGGGTGAACCCATCATGGTCTTGACCTCTTTGCTCCAATTCTCATTCGTCCCACTCTTCAACTGGACTTCGGCAGATCATTCCCATGCTCTGGTGCTAGTCTCAGCTTCTATTGGCATCAGTTGCTGGATGAAGGCTGTATGGTGATATTTAAAGTATTCATTAGTCTAACTACACAGCAAGGTCAGTTTGGGCACCCTCTTTTCTATTGCTTAGGGTCTTAGCTGGTTTAATCCTTGTGGATTCCTGGGAATTTCTCTAGAGCCAAGTGTTTTGCTAACACCATAATCTGCTCTTTGGACTGGAGAGGGAGGGGGGAAGGACGGAGGGGGAGAAGGATGGAAGGAGGGAGAGGGAAATGGGAGACTGGGAGGAGGGGGAAATTTTTTTTCCTTTTCTCAATAAAAAAATTAGTTAATTAATTAATTAATTAAAAATATATTTCTTTCCTTGCTCTCATCTCTGTCCTTTCTCAATCTCCAATATCTCTTTCCCTAAAGTGCACCTCATCCCTCACCTTCTCCCTTTTCTTCCCTTTCCACTACTTCTATTCTCACCACCCCTATTTTACCAATTTTGTCAGGCAATATTGTCTATTTTGACTTTCTAAGCGGATCTATATGTTTTTCTCAGGATTCACCTTGTTACTCCTTTATCATTTGTATATCGGGAGCTACTGAATTTTATTGAGTTGATCTTGTATACCACCACATTACTAAAGGTTTTTATCAGCTGCATTAGTTCTCTGGTAGAGTTTTTGGAGTCACTTATATATACTATCATATAATCTACAAATAACAAAACGTTGACTTCTCCCTTTTCAATTTGAATTCCTTTGATCTCCTTTTGTTGTTTTATTGCTATAGCTAGAATGTCAAGAACTATGTTGAATTGATATAAAGGAAGTGGTCAAATCATGTACCCTTGTAGTTCCGGCATATCTCTGCCCAATTTATATTAAAGTTATCATCAAACATCATTAACATGCTAAAAGCAAACGCACCATCTGCAGAATCTCAAAAATCAGTAGATTATCCACTCCTGTCTTAGTTAGAAAAATACTCATTAAATCTCCCTTGCTGAGATGAAGCAGTTTGCTCAGCAGATATGATATTCAATGAGAGTTTGGACTATACTGGCCTGTTCTACTCAACAATGGAAAAATAGAAATTGGGCAATGAAAGCTGAACTCAACTGTAGATCAAAATCCTATAAAGCTGATCACAAAATGCATATGGTGTTTAGTGCCAAAGTTCACAAAGATGTGGCGGTTCCTTCTTAGAATAATAAATAGAAGCTGAGGAATGAAGCACAAGTAAAAGTAATTTCAACAGTTGGCGTTGGGTTCCTAATTAACAGTCTACACTTAGAAGGGTTTGGGAACATTAACTCTCACATTGTAAAATGTACCTAAAACACTTATTGTCCATGTTATAATGCAGTTTTTGGGACTTTGAGATTTAGAATGAACTATAGAATTTTTTGGCTTTTTTAATGGAAGCAGTAGAATACAAAACACATCACCACTAGATTTTATTCATTATGTTTGTATAATATTATCACTGTATGTTATAATCCATTCATATGAATCCATATATTCTGATATGTATCAAGAGTATATATTGTGCATATCATAATTCCCATGAGGATTCTATTTTTAGGAACCATCATCTTACTTAAACATAAGTGACAAAGAAAAGCTATATGTGAAAGATGTTGGGACAGGTAACGAAGGACACCAAGTAGCTAAAAATAATTTTTTAATGTGTTTTCAGTAGGCTTGCAAAATATCTGCACAACTTGAAAGATGTAGGTGATTTTTAAGATTAACTGTTAGCTAGTGATCAGTTCAGGGCAACAGCCTGTAAGATACTAATGGTTGTACTTTTTATGTATTTTTCATAATCCCATCTGTATATATACATAATTACATATATATACATATTTACAGCATCATGTGGAAGTGGATTATGAATGCATGTCATATCTTAAAGAAGATTTCGATATATTAACCCTCAAATTCTGGCTCATACTTTTTTGCCAAACTCTCTTCTATGAAGATGCCATATCTTTACTAGAAATATTTATTGAAATTGAGAATCCTCACACAGGACACCAAAATATTCCAGTTTAAATATGTAAATACTATACTCAGACTCACCTATTGGTATCTTATAGACCAAAAGAGGTAATCACTTCTCCCTTTTGTCCTTTGGCCAGTAGCAACCCCAGATTTAAATAGTCTAATTCACTCATCTGATGTCATCCATTTTATAATATCTGTCCTTTATATGAGTCTTAATCTATGCCTTCCTGAAGGTTGTCTTATAAAATTGTCGTTGGGCCTGTCAATGTATTTGTCCTTATCAAGGTCTTTATTCTGTCATTTTATTGAAGAAAACAAGGAACATTAGAACAAGGAGCATCAGAAGGGAAAGGTTTGGGGGATACTGTCTTAAAGTCTTTAAATAATTTCACAAGCACTTCTCAATGAACCCCCTTGACACTACCAATAACAGACAGTACTACAAACACCAGTGCATATCATGTTTTATCTCTTGACTGTATTTAGCATTTATTGTCGAGGAGGTTAATTTAAATCTCATGTATGCATTAGCTTGGGTTACAAAAATTATTTAATTATGTTGAAAATTCAAAGAAAGTAAAGTTGGTTTACACAATGTTCTCTTATAAAGACAGAATAATCACGGAGTTCACAGTAAGCAAAGGAGAGGACTTTCTGGCAAAGATCTTTAGACCATAGCGTTTAAGACCAAGTAGTGACAAATAAGACTTCATAAAATTAACTGGCATTCATATATAACAGATTACTACCTTTCAAAAAAAAAGACTGTGTTAAGATTAGGAAAACAACATTACAAGCTAAACATCTGATATTGATTGTAGAACATACCTAGAACTATATGGTTATACACCAAAACAGAGAGAGTATCAAAGAAGCAAACAAAAACAAAAATGCCACTAGCATTAAAACAGGACATAAACCTAAACAGAAAACTCAAAAAAATTATAAATCTGTTTGAGAGATATTTTCTAAAGTTAAGCATGCTTAGAAATCAGAGAAATGTAAATTAACTATCCTTTGAAATCTCTTCCCCATATCAGAATGACTAAGAAAAATAACAATATTAATAAAGGATAACAAATATTGCTGTATATCTGAAGAAAAGATAATAATTTATTCATGTATTTGAGAGTTCACCTTTTGGTGAAGCAGAATGAAATCAATGTGGAATTGCCTCAAAAAGCTAAAAGTGTTATATCAATTACTTTTTGCTAAATTTTATGTGGCTTAGGTATTAAGGTAAGTGTCGTCATGAAAAGAATGTCACACTGATCTTTCTGCTTCTAGTTTGTACAATTATTAGAGGAGAATTCATGTTTGTTCTAGAAGAATTACCAAAGTTAGAAAGTACCACCTGCTACTATTATTCTGATACAAGCTTAAGGCTTAAAATTATTCCTCATTTCCTATCTTTTACCAGCAACTACTGCATCGCTAAGCCTCCATCATAGAAATTACCTGCATATGTTTACTGCTAAAAGAGAGACAACCTGCACTCACAGTGCAGACAATAAGAAGATGTTCAGCTTTAAGTGTCCTTTCAATATCATCCCCTCCCTGCAATTCAAAGGATAGTTCAGAACAGAATTATGAGAGATGTAAAGAGTCAAAGGTGATGTAGGACTATAAAGAAGCACTGTTTTCAGCACGCACCGGGAAATGTGTAATTAGGAACTCAGTGATTCATGAGAGCTGAGCAAGGGCAAGCCAGATCAAAATTCCAGGCTTCTTTCCAACTAGCTCGCATAAGTTTAATTAATCCATGTATTTTTATGATATGTTCTAAAACCTACCACACATCCAGCTTCCTCCATCTCTGATGGTAACTTGCCTGCCTCAATTCCTCCTCCTGCTTCCACTATCTCCCTGCAATTCCTGCCTATATCTCCTGCTTAAATTTTGTCCATTTACTTCCTATTATGTCAATCACAGTAATACATGTTCACAGTATATACATATCCCAGGAAAAAATATACTTCTTTGTTATGACATATTTATATTGTTACTATTATCAACAGAACAGTTCACATTAATGGTATCGTGCCATTAAAATATAAACTCTCAAAACAAAGAGATGAAAAATGTCTAAAATATTTAACATTTTTATTGCAAAGAAGGAAAATATGTGAAGTCCAAGATAAACAGTTATTTATATAAATAACAAATAGTACAAGAAAATAATATTTATGTAGAATATAATCGCATTACCAAAACAAACATATTCCAAGATCTAAAATATGCATCAAAATCTGGAGTAGTGTGATTTTGGCTGGTTCTTTAACACATTACCTTGATATTCATTCAAGAAATGTTATTGCATAATTCATTCCTACTAGAGATATTTACTTATTGATAATATTTTATATTTGAATGGTTACATCTCCCAAAATAGTGCATAATTAAATTATTTTATTATGAATGTTTAATGATTATAATATTTAAACCTGGACACAAGGTTTTTAATTTTATTAGAACTGTAGTGCCAGATAATTACTGACTAGCTTGGAAAGTAATCTAAGGATTTGAGTCTGTGAAGTAATTTGTTCAGTATATAAAGACAGGTAAACCATATTACTGTGAGTTAAACTAAAAAGTTTTAAGAAGTGTGCCCATTACATGAATTTTCTGATGCCTTCTAAGACTTGAGCATGTAGTCAAGGACTTGCCACAATCCTGACATGTGTAAAGTTTCTCACCAATATGAATCCTGTGGTGAGCTTGAAGATTTGCATGACGAGTAAAGGACTTGCCACATTCTTGACATCTGTAAGGTTTCTCACCAGTATGAAGTCTGTGATGTCTATGAAGTGTTGAGACATGGGTAAAGGACTTGCCACATTCTTGACATCTGTAAGGTTTCTCACCAGTATGAAGTCTGTGATGTCTATGAAGTGTTGAGACATGGGTAAAGACCTTGCCACATTCTTGACATCTGTAAGGTTTCTCACCAGTATGGATTCTGTGGTGAGCTTGAAGATTTGCACGACAAGAAAAGGACTTACCACATTCATGACATCTGTATGGTTTCTCACCAGTATGGATCCTGTGGTGATCGTGAAGATGTGCATGACGAGTAAATGATTTGCCACATTCTTGACATCTGTAAGGTTTCTCACCAGTGTGGATCCTGTGGTGATCTTGAAGATGTGCATGACGAGTAAATGATTTGCCACATTCTTGACATCTGTAAGGTTTCTCACCAGTATGGATTCTGTGATGTTGTTTCAGTGTTGAGGCACGGGTAAAGGAATTTCCACATTCTTTACAACTGTAAGATTTCTCACTAGGAGAAATTCTTTGGAGAGCTTGAGGACTTGCATGATAGGAAAATGATTTATCACAGTTTTCAAATTTATATGCCTTCTCTTTGGAATTAATTCTCTTATGACTAGTGAGGCAGGAATATCTGTTGAAGCTCTTCCCACACTCCTTATAGTTGCGTTGTCTCCCTTTAGTTTGATTGTATGTATAATGCTTCACTTGTTTCTGGTCATACTGGAATAAAAAATGGTGTGTGTTATAATAAAAAGTCTCTGTACACTTCTCAGGAATAATACCCTTCTACTATGTATTAAATACTGAGAAAATATGTACTGTGATGTAGTGTTTTGGGCATTTTTTTTTCGGTCAACTGAGGGTTCCGGTACTATTCTTCCTAAAACTCTTAGTAACAGTTTAATAGCATCAGTACCTGTGTAAGAATTTTCACAACTAAAACAGCTATCTATGATGTATTTTCAGTCTGATTTTATTGAGAAAAACCTTCTCATGTGGATCTAAATTGCTTACTATGTCAAAACTGTAATTAATATTTGTAGGAAATCTAGAGAATGCTTGATATAACATGTATCATTCAGTTTTCAGATTTTTCAACTTTCTTTGCAGATAAAAATATATTTTAGGACTTTAAGTGTATTTGTTTAGAAAAGAAACTTCTGTAAATTTATGAGATCTAATGTGACAACATCCACAATAAGGTAGAGATTCCTGACCTATTTTGGCAAATTTATCCAGGATGGCTGGTGAGTAAAAATTATTTCAAGTATAACATAAACCTTTCTTTTTACTCTCATCACCAAATTTTTAAAATATTCTTAAGTACAAGGTTTCTAGGTTAAAACTTACCGATATTCCAGATACCAGGTTCAGGACTGAATCCTGTGTATTCTCCTGTGCAAATAGGTCTTGTGTTTGATGGGAATATAGACCTGCAAAATAGGGAATATTTAATTATACTATGTGGCATAAAAACCTCATGATTATTATTTATTCTTATGAAACAATATTCTCAAGGCAAATGATATAACATCTTTCATAACATACACTAAAGAATAAATAAAGTGGCAGGATTGAAAATATATTACCTTGAGCCTGTTTGGATGCTCACCTTCCTAGACCTGGATGGAAGGGGAAGGACCTTGGACTTCCCACAGGGCAGGGAACCCTGACTGCTCTTTGGACTGGAGAGGGAAAGGGAGATGAGTGGGGGTAGGGGGAAGGAAATAGGAGGTAGGGAGAAGGCAGAAATTTTTAATAAAAAATAAATGAATAATAAAGAATATATAAAATGGCAGGCTTGATATTTTATTACATCAAGCTTTTCAAACATAATTTTCAGAATAATAAATAAGACTATACTGGTTTGAGTAAAATGACCCCATATATTCAGACATCTGAATACATGGCCTGAAGATGGTATATATTTATGGGGAGGATTAAGAGGTATCAACTTAATGGAAAGTCTACATTCCTAGAGTCTTGATTTGAGAGCTCTGAAGTCTTCTGCTGCCACTAATAAGGTCTCTGATTCATATGGTGCTTCTATATGGGACCTCTCACTGCTGTTCCAGCTCCCTGTAAACTACTCCTTCTGATTCATCAGCATTGATCTTTTTTCTGTGCATTGTCTTTATCGTGTTGTTTTATCACAGAAATTGGAAGTAACTATTACAAAGCCCAAGTATAAAAAATAATACTTGTTATGAAATTGTATTTTTATAGAAAAATCTCATCTCTTGACGTGAGCAAACAGAATAATATTTAAAGAAGACAGATTATTAATTAATAAAGAAAGAAGACATGAACAGCAGGATAACAGTTATTATTAATTGGTACTCAGACAACCACATATACCACTTTGAAGGGGTTCATAACTTTTGAGACATCAGAAATTCTTAAAAATGTTCATATCATTGTAATCATATTTTCTCTTTTTCTTACACATATTAAAGTCTAGGTTCTTGAGTTCTCTATCTATTTTGGAGATCAGACCTATGTCTGTTGCAGGGTTGGTGAAGTTCTTCTCCCAATCAGTAGGTTGCCTTTTTGTCTTGATGACAAGTTTCCTTTCCTTTACAGAAGCTTCTCAGTTTTAGAAGGTCACATTTATTGAATGTTGCCTTTATTGTCTGTGCTACTGGGTTTATAAGTAGGAAGAGGTTTCCTGTGCCCATGTGTTGTAGACTACTTCCTACTTTCTCTTCTATCAATTTCAGAGTATTCAAATTTATATTGAGGTCTTAAATCCATTTGAACTTGAATTTTCTGCATGGTGAATGATATGGATCTATTTTTATTCTTCTACAGGTTGACATCCAGTTATGCCAGCACCATTTGTTGAAGATGCTTTCTTTCTTCCATTGTATAGTTTTAGCTCCTTTGTCAAAAATCAGGTGTACATAAGTTGTAGGTTAATATCTGGGTTTTCTATTCTATTCCATTGGTCGACTTCTCTGCTTTTATGCCCGTACCAAGCTGTTTTCATTACTGTAGCTCTGTAATAGAGTTTGAAGTCAGGGACGGTAATGCCTCCAGAAGTTCCTTTATTGTATAAGATTGTTTTGGCTATCCTGGGTCATTTAAATATCCATATAAAATTGATCATTGTCCTCTTGAGGTCTGTGATGAATTTTGTTGGGATTTTAATGGGGATTGGATTGAATTTATAGATTGCCTTTGACAGAATTGCCATTTTTACTAAGTTGATCCTACCCATCCAAGAGCATGGGAGATCCTTCCATTATCTGATTTCCTCTTCTATTTCTTTCTCAATGCCTTAAAGTTCTCGTCAAATAGATCTTTCACTTCCTTTGTTAGAGTTATCCCCAGACACTTTGTGCTGTTTGTGGCTATTGTAAAAGGTGATGCTTCTCTGACTTCCCTCTCTGCTTCCCTATCCTTTGTGTATAGGAGGGCTACTAATTTTTTTGAGTTGATCTTGTAACCTGTCACATCACTGAAGGTGTTTATCAGCTGAAAGAGTTCTTTTGTAGAGTTTTTGGGGTCACTAATGTACACTATCATATCATCTGTAAATAACGAAAGTTTGACTGCTTCCTTTCTGATTCAAATCCCCTCGATCTCCGTATGTTCTCTTATATCTGTTATTTTATTTTAAACTGCCTCAATTTTATTGGAATGTTTCTCAGTTGTAGAATTTTTCTTGTGGGATTCTTTGTCTTTTATTTATAAAATCATATCATCTGCATATAAATTTTATTTGCTTTTATTCTTTCCTATTAATCACCTTTTGATCATCATAATTTTATTTTGTTTCGTGAAAATTTCAAATACTCTCTTAAATACATATTAAGAATTCAAATATCCTTTATTGTTCCCTATTTTACTGGAAAGATTTGAATTTCCCACAATTTAGTTTGATTTGGTTCATAGGATTGCTATAAATTGCATGTTTATTTTGAGTTTGTCCCATTTCACTTGTTTCTTCAGAACTTTTATCATGAAGGGTGGTTAATATTTCTCATGATGAACATCTAAAATTTGATTTTTAATTTCTTTATCTGGTGGATTACATTCATTGCCTCTCATTTGTTGATACATCCCTATATGTTTTATGTAAATCCTGTGGTAAATGATATTTTGACATGTTCTTAGGTTCAGTTGTTTTTTTTTTTTTTTTTGGTATTTGGAGACAGGGTTTCTCTGTAGCTATGGAGCCTGTCCTGGAACTAGTTCTTGTAGACCAGGTTGGTCTCGAACTCACAGAGATCCCCTGCCTCTGCCTCCCAAGTGCTGGGATTAAAGCCGTGCGCCACCATCGCCCGGCTTTAGATTCAGTTTTCAAATATTTTCTTGAGGGTTTTTGTATATATGTTCAGGAGGAAATTGTCATATCATTCATATACTTTTTGAGAATATAAGTGGTTTAGGTATCAATGTCACTTTCCTTTTGAGAAGAATTTCACTGTGATCTGCTGCTTTTACTTTGTAGAATAGTATGAACAGTATTCATGCTAACTGAAGAAGAATTGTTGAAAGATACCAAGTAACACCAACTTCCACAATTCTAATGCTTGAATGTACTATCAAAATAATACTTGATGTCTAATTGCTTTTACACAAACGATTGCATCTCTACACTTTCATTTCTATAGCTTCTCATAGAACTTGACATCTGAAAGGTGACCCACAAGTTGTCATGGTGCAGAAAACAAGAAAACATTCTAATCTACATGGGAAGTAGAAAAAGACAAGATCTCCTGAGAAAATTGGGAGTATGGGGACCTTGGGAAGGGTTTGAATTGGATGTGAGAGGAAAGGAGAGGGCCAGGGGAAAATATAGAGCTCCGTGAAAATCATTTAAAAAATTAGAACTAAGTAGGATGTTTATATCAAACCTGTTCTCTATAACGTGCAGAGCTTATTCAGGACAGAACAATTATAAATGTTAAAGGAAAAAAGTGATAAATTACTACATGAAAACCATGCTTCCTTCATACAACATGACAGCTGTACATGTGAGCTCAAGGGATTAGGATAGAATGCATCAGACATGAAAAAGCTCAAGCTAGATAAAACTCCAGTGAAGAAAGGGTGAAAGGACATGGAGACCCACTCCTTTGTGAGATGCTTATATCATCTGATAGATGCTTAGAGAAAAGGAATAAAATTTGTTTTAAGGATGTTCACCTCCTGAAAGTTTGATTATATTGTAGGCCAGGCTCAAAGCCCTTTGAGTATAAAAGAAAAAGAGAAAAACAGCAAAGTTGTCTGGAAAAAGGGAATGTAGGAGGTGTTTGAGGATTGAATATAATCAAATGACATTGTAGGGTATTCCAAAATAATTAATACAAATATTGAAAATAATAGATTATCTATACACAAATTTTCTTCTCTAAAGAAAATGAATTGCAGAATACATCACAAAGGAAAACAAGAGAATACACAAATTTTATATGGAAATTAACATATTATAAATTTTAATATACAGAGATTGTAGATTATTTTAAAATAGATGAATAATATGTATGTTTCTAAACAATTCATGATTCTAAATGATACTTTTACAAAAATAGATGAAGTTACTTTTAAATCCTGTAGAATTTAAAGCAAAGAAAAAATAATA